GTGTTACGTTATTAGAGTATTACATTAGAGTGTTACATTCTTATTTGTAATGTAGGATTTGCTTCATAACACGGAAAAATCCAAAACCTCTATAATGCAGATTGTCTAAATGTGTAATTTCACATGTGGAAAAACCCACTTTTATTCTTAAAAAATTAAACCTAAATGTGTAAGTGACTATCATTTTATGTAATTTCTACTTTAATAGGACTTTTAGATTCATAAAAAAAAAAAGAGACTAAACAGTTCACAAGATCATATTTTAAGATTTATTGATTCTTTATCTAAATATTGTTTACTTAAATAATCTTATTTTTTTATCATATAGAATATTTTTTTATTAACTTTCTTTTTTGTTATATCAAATATTAAAAAATAAAAATATATATAATTTCCACCTAAACAAATCAACCTTACTCAAAATTTTCTACAACTAATCAACTCTCTCTTTCTCTGTATTCCTTTGCCGGGACTGCTTAGGATTAATCCCCATTATTTTTGAAACAACAATGATTCAAAACATTAATTAAGATGCTCTCATAAATCATTAATGATGTCGTAAAAAAAAAATTAAAACTAAAATTAAAACATCATATCACAATAAATAAGACCAACTACGAACTCATTAAAATTAGCTTTAATATTCAAAAATTAAAACTCCAAACCATTTTTCTTTCTGAAATTCATCATCAACCCACGACAACCACGCCGGTCTCAGATATTGCTTTCCCTTCTTTAGTGGAGCTGAGCCTGTTCCATCCATTTATCGACAAAGTAAGCTTTACTTATTATTATTATTATTATTTTTTTATTATCTCGTTCAAAAAAAAAAAAACTTTACTTTTGTTATCATTATTTTATTATAAGTAACATTCTTTGTTTTGATCGAAAAGAACGATTCTTTTCGATAGATGCATTTCAAAAAAGAGACTTGGAAATATACTTGTAAGAACAAAATTATGAATTTTCTTAACTGAGTCAATCTCAATCATCTCATTAATGATTCAACAATGATACATCCCACTAATTTGGGAGCACTAATGGACCACTAATGAGGTGGAAATTAAAAAAAAAAAAAAAAAAACTTAAAGCCAAAACATCACATCAGTCAGTGAGACCCACTCTCTAGAGCTCCCAAATATTTTTCTTATTTCTACACCATTGTGCAATTATTTCCTCGAAAGGTATTGGGACAATAAGGTAACAAAGAAGATTGGAAAAAAAAGACAAAAAGAAATTCTAACATATACACTCTTTAAAGGGGTGCATTATATACCTCTCTAATTATATTATTTTTTCTTTAATTATAACTAATTTTATTCTTTAATTATGATATTATTTTAATTATGACTCATGAATTATTTAATCATACCTCATGTTGTATTTGGTTAAAACATATTTTTTTAGTTATGATTCAAAAAATATAAAATTTTATCTTTTTTTTAGTTATAAGATATATATAATACATACCTTTTAAAAGGTGTGTAGCATAATATTTTCTAGAAACTGTAATGCAGGCCTTTTCATCATTTTCATGCCAAATGAAACATGAGCAATAATTGAGGAAAGGTAGGCAAATAGAGCAAAGCATGATGATGACATGGATCCCACAATATTAAGGATGAAAATATAGAGAAATCAAGAAAGTGTTGAGAACCCATTGAGATGAAGATTTTGCAAGTAAATGGAGAGAGGAGATGGAGGAGACAATATCCAAGCCACCAAGCCTTCCAAGATTCAAGATCTTCAAAAACTTTCCCCAAAAGTCCCTCAACTCACCCTTTAACTAAAATAGCTCTCTTAAATCTTTTAAAAAAATAAAAAATAAAAACCATTAAGGCCAAAGAAAGATCAACTAGGTTTAACTAAGGGTGTAAAAATGGCCAGAGACCCATAGGCAGCTCAAAACACACCCACGACCGGGGTGAGCTCGTCCTGATTAGGCCAGGGCCCGAGGCCAGCATAGGACCCTGGGTCTGGGCCTTGGCCTTTATTTTGAAGCCTAGTTAAGCCAATGACTTGGCCCAAAAAAATTTTCACCCTGCGGGTGGCCTAGCTTGGCTCGACCTGACCTGTGGCCCCCCAACGTCTCTCTCTACAACGGACAAATTCAAAAAACAAAAAACTTAAAAATTAAAAATAATAATAATTCAAATGCTGCAACGATCAAATTCAAGAAAAAAAAAAATTATCAAATGGTCATTTGACCGTTTTACTCCAACGGTTCCAACTCCCTTTTTTTTTAATTACAAATTGACCGCCCCTCCCCCCCAAACTCCTATAAATATCCCCCTCTCTCGCATTTTATTTCTAACAAACAATTCTCTCTCTCAAATTAGAGAAATCAAGAAAGTGTTGAGAACCCATTGAGATGAAGATTTTGCAAGTAAATGGAGAGAGGAGATGGAGGAGACAATATCCAAGCCACCAAGCCTTCCAAGATTCAAGATCTTCAAAAACTTTCCCCAAAAGTCCCTCAACTCACCCTTTAACTAAAATAGCTCTCTTAAATCTTTTAAAAAAATAAAAAATAAAAACCATTAAGGCCAAAGAAAGATCAACTAGGTTTAACTAAGGGTGTAAAAATGGCCAGAGACCCATAGGCAGCTCAAAACACACCCACGACTGGGGTGAGTTTGTCCCGATTAGGCCAGGGCCCGAGGCCAGCATAGGACCCTGGGTCTGGGCCTTGGCCTTTATTTTGAAGCCTAGTTAAGCCAATGACTTGGCCCAAAAAAATTTTCACCCTGCGGGTGGCCTAGCTTGGCCCGACTTGACCTGTGGCCCTCCAACGTCTCTCTCTGCAACGGACAAATTCAAAAAAAAAAAAACTTAAAAATTAAAAATAATAATAATTCAAATGCTGCAACGATCAAATTCAAGAAAAAAAAATTTATCAAATGGTCATTTGACCGTTTTACTCCAACGGTTCCAACTCCCTTTTTTTTTAATTACAAATTGACCACCCCTCCCCCCCCCAAAAAAAACTCCTATAAATATCCCCCTCTCTCACATTTTATTTCTAACAAACAATTCTCTCTCTCAAACTCTCAAATGATTGGTAAGCTAGTAGGTGTCAACCTAGTTGAGATGTATTTGACCTATAGTGATGTAATTGCTCTACCATCATTAATAATCTACATCTATTTTATTTAATGAAATAAATTTTTGTAATATTTTAATTTCATTTTAAAATAAAAATTATTCATTCAATAAATGTTATCTATTTAATTTAATGATTATAATATTGCAAATTTCATTTTGATATATCTAAAGTTATTCATTTCAAAAGAAAAAAAATTACATAATTTCATACTTTTTTAGTCATAAGTTTTTAACCAAAAAAATATAAGTCATACATAATTAAATTTAAATACCACCACACATGAAATATAACCAAGCATCTCATTAATCTTAACCAAAATACTCTAGTATAATTTTTATTTTTTTTTATCCCTCATAAATAATTTGTATACATAATATATTTATTGTTTATTTTTTACAAAAAAAAAAACAAAAAAAAAAGCCCCATCAGGCCTTAGGCCCTAATTTGAGTGGGCTTGGGCCCCACTTTTCGCCCCGCGAACCGGCCTAGCCCAGTCTGACCAAAAGGCGGGAGCGCGCACAGCCAACCATGGGCCAACCCAAGCTCGGGCCTGGGTGGACCAGGCTTGGCCATATTTACACCCCTAGACCTAGCCTAGTTGGCTCCCATGATTTTCTTAATTTAGCTCCTAGGGGGAGGTTATGAGTTCAACTCTCCTTAGGGGAGTTGAATTAAGGACGCAAACACTTGGTGTTTTGCAAAGGGTAATGAGACTAACTCTCATAGGTGTTAATTTAATAACTAGCAATTGACTTTCGCAAATTCAAGAAAAAAAAAATTAAGGCCAAACAAATATTCTCTAATTGAAGGTACTTTATTTCGGTGTCAAGCAACTTTTTACTTACACAATAGATCTACTAATGTGTCATTCCCACTTCGTGTAATATTACCACGTTGACTAGGCTAAAAAACAGCAATGTAGCACATTATTAGCTCTTCACCTACCAAGAGCGGAGCATGTGTACTGGGTACTGCACTAGATGTAGTGGGTTAGAGCTTTGAGACTGAATTGGACTACCCAGGAACCAAGTCCTGCAAAACAGAGCATCGTTAGAGCTGCCTGGCCGGGGTTGGCCGGAAATCCCCTCCAGTGTGGGATTAAGTGATCAGAGAAGATAAAGTACTCTCTCTAGGTGCAAAGAGAGGAAAAGAAAGAATGTTCAATGTGTGATTGGAGGAGATGAGTTAGTTCAGGATTAGTTACTTTCAATTTGAAGATAGTGTTGCTTATATAGAAGACTTTGTTTTTTCCCCAAGATGGGTTTCATGGAATTTAGGTGCTTCAAGGCTCTCTTTAGCATTGCCCAAGGTGGGGGACCACGAGGTGGTTAACCATGGAGTCATGTGCTCATTATAGCTTTGTATATAATAGATCACATTCCTTCTGTTAATTGTTTCTATGATTCTAGGAAAGGGGGACCAGTTGAAGTTACACTCTACACATGCATGCATTCACAACTTCCACGTTTACTCAAGGATTCCTCAGTTTGGCCTTTTATGAGGTTGCTTGGTTGGCCCATTTGGATGATCTTATGTGGGTTCGTCCCACTTCGGTTATGTTGATGGGTTCGGCCCACCAATTCAGCCATGCTCAATACCACGCCTGGGCTGGGCTATTCCTTAATATGCTTGGCCCAAGTGCTTAAGGACTTGGGTAAATAATTCATGTGGAGATGGGCTCAATGATTTGGCCCACGTAGGTATCTGGCCCATATCATATGACCATTCGGGTTTGGGCTTAGTGGTTTGGACTGAGCCAAGGTTTAGATCTGTTTCACTTATATTTTGCCCCTTTGTTTGCCCCCTGGCTTGTGCTAAGGTTCCCTTCCGGAAGCTACTGATCAATACTTCAACCGTTGCATCATTTCAAACCTTCTTTAGTTCGGCCTTAGTGGTGGTTCAAATTCTGACACACACACTCCGCATGCATCCTTTCACAAGGACACATGGCAGCATGGTGTTGGTGCACAGAGGTAGTACTCTATTCATCTGCAAAGGGATGTGACTTGTACCATTATGTTAGTTGAGGGTAATAAAAACCCCATGGGCTGTCCTCTCACCTCTTCACTAGTTCCCAAAGTTAGAATTTTCAAAACCCTTTCACTCTCCCTTTCTGGTTCTAACGATATGTTACTCCGATGTTTGTCTCTAGTGTTGTTGGTTCCTAGACGTCGTTGCCTCTTTCCGATTCCAAGTTTCAAAATCCACATTATTCTTCGACGATCGATGCTTGTCCACTAAATCTCTGTAAATACATCTGAATTCTCATTTTTTTTTTTGTGATTTTTTATTTTCGTTGCCACTTTTGGCCTTTGTGCCATTGTTTTTGGTGATTCGCACCGTTTCCTACCCTTTTCCTAGAGTTGTTTTGTTTTTCCTTTTTTTGGTCTCTGTTATGGGTAAGTTTCATGCCCTAATTGATACTCCAGAGGCAATGGCCTTGTTCTATTGTGATTTTGGGATTTTGGACGATGTTAACCTTGCATTGGCGAAGGTTGATGCCAAGCGCATGTAAATGAGGTCCACCGTTACGTTTCCCGTTGTTGCCATTGTCGAAGGAGGGGTAAGGTTCCCATTGGACCCCTTGGTTCGCCGTTTTCTTTACCAAGTTCAACTAACCTTAATGCAAGTGTCTATAAACCTTTTTCGAGTGATCTGTGGTGTTTCTACTCTAAATATAAGACTGGGTTTGTACTTAGATGTTTGGGATATCCTGGGCTACTACACCATTTCTCATAACAAGGACCACAATACATAATACCTTCGTGTTTGTTCCATTGATTCCCATCTAGTTACTAACTTGCCTAATTGTGACAAACACGATGATGACTTCTTTCAAATCGGAGGAAACTGGGAGTTCCCTGTCGGAACCAAGATTCAAACTGAACGGATGCCCCCAAAAGATGGATATTCAGGTCTTAATCTCTGCCCTTGTATTTGAGTCTTTTTGAATATGCCATTTATTTGTTTTGTTTGACTGCTTTGCTGACCATGTTTCCTATTTTGCAAAGCCTTCTAGCTACCAAAGGAGGCCGAACCGCGAGAATACTGAAGCGATTAGAGATGTCCTGAGGTAAAAGAAGAGATCTGCCCTTGAATTGTTGGATTACCAAGCTACCTACCAAACCACTATCCCAAAGAAACCTAGACTTGTTGCCACATTATTCGATTCCGATATCGAAATAAAGACAGCTTCTACCCTATCGATTAACAATTGCCACCATACCAGGAGCCAATCCACTGAGAGGACCCCTTCTCCTGTCCCAATTTTGTAAAAGTTAGATCGATGGCAAAGAGAAGGGTACTTGTGGACTTGGAGGTGGAGGTTTTTGGTTCCTTTTCTGCCTTGGAGACTGCTAGAGTCAAGATCGAGCTGAAGAGTTTACTAGAGATGAAGCTTGAAAGGAAAGTTGCTAGCCCTTATACTGTTGTTCCTAAGAGTGAGAGCTTGGTTGCTGAACGGGCCAAGAAAAGAATGAGAGAAACTGGAAAAGATAAGGTTAGTAAGGCTTCTGAGAAGGTTATCGTTGATGAGTCCTTTGAGCAATAGGAACCTCCAATGTTGTACCAAGGCAAACCTATTTTTATTTCTGATTCAGTTGTTGGGTCTAGTAAACTCGCTTTTGATCTAACCAAGACCCTACTTCTATCCATAGATATGGCAGACCATAATGGACCTTATGACATTCTAATCATGAAGGGGACTTTCCAAGTGATGACCGATGTAAGTGTTTTGGTAGTCCTTTTTGTGTTGTTTTTGTTTTTTGTTTTTTTTTTTCCCCATTAAGCTGTACTATTTCATTTTCTTATTGCATTTTGTTGCTGCAGTGTATTCAGAGGATGCATCTTTCTATAACTCGTATTGAAACTCTAGAGAAGGTCGTACTGCAGGCGGCTATGAGTAATGACAGGTTAAATGTGGACCTAGAGAACGAGAAAAAGGGCCAAAGAGCCGTGAAACGTGAAGTTTTTTGGCTGAATAAGGTTGATGTTGCTGCTAAGAAGTCCAGGGTTACTGCCATTGAGACGCAAACAAAGCTTGAAGGAATGGTTGTCGAGCTGGAGGCCATTATTGCTATTATGGTAGCCGAGCAAACCACTTGGAGGCTAAGTGTTAGCAACAGGGCTGGGATGAAACTGGTGCGACTTGTAAAGAGAAAGAACTTGTTTTTCACGACAAGCTCTTCCTGAAATGATAGATGAATGCCCTGATCACCGTTGAGGTCCTTGAAGAGTCTCCCTTGTTTGAAGATATCCCTATTCCCTCTAAGTCTTCTGCTCTCAAAGCTATTGTAACCGCACAATCCAAGATCTCTCCAGGAGCTGGCTTTACTACCATGACCCCAGAGAAGGATACTGCCCAGAAATCAATGGAAGTTGATGAAGGCAAGGCCTAGGTGGGAAGTGCTACAGATGGAGGAATTTCTGAAGCTTCTGTTGCTTAAGACGTTGGTAATACCTCCGCTTCTCCTTCCAAGGCAGTTCCAAATGAAGTTGTGGTCACTGTTGTTGAAGAACCCTCTATCAATCCCAATAAATAAAGTGGCTTTTGACTCAGCTTTATTTTCTTCTTTTTGCTTTTTCCTTTTAATATACTAGAGCTCGGTCTGTCTGACAAGTTGCCTCTTTGATCTTTAAGACAATATTTCTTTTCTGATGTTTGTGAGGCCATTGTGCCTCTTTATCTTTGCAATTAAAGTTAGTGTTTTGCTTTCATGCCTATGCTATTTGCCCCTGGCCGAGCATTACTGGGACTATCGGGCCAAACAGACGCTTGGTCTGATCATATGATATGTTTTCGTGAATATGCTTGAATGTAGTAGAGTCAAATAAGAATGTCTTACTTAGGTCCAGGTTTTGTATGAAAAAACAGTTGTTTGCCCCTACCTGGAATTGAGCAAAACTTGAGCTGGAAGCTTGCTCTTGAAAGAATCATCTACGTCTGTCCCAACTTTGTTTGTGTACAGCAGTACTGAAGTGTTGGTTTTGATGCGTCTTTATTTAAGAAAAAATTCATTCGCAACTTTTGAAAATCCTATGATTTTGAGAAAAAAAAAACTGGCCATGTTTAAAAATTCGTTAGTAAAACATAATTTCCACCATGCAATACCACTTGGCACAAAGTGTTTTGCAACAACTTTGCTAAGTCCGTTTGGTTGCAATCCAAAACTAATTCTGAAAGTTAACTCGCTTAACTTTTCTAAGTTCATTTGGTCAATCTGAAGCTAATTTCTGAAAGTTGCTTGTAACCTTGCTAATTTCCGTTCAGTTATACCAAAGCTATTTTCAAAGGTTAATCCTTAACTTTGCTAAAATCTGTTCATTCCCAATGAAGCTTATGTCGAGAGTTACTTGTAACTCTACTTAGTTCAATCAATCTTTAGTTTGAACCATGCCTCCAGTACTTAGGTACAAATCTTGAGAGACTATTTCACTTGGCAATCAGTTTTGACCCTAAGGCTTTATTGGCCGACCCAAAAAGTTTTAAGACATCAGGTGCTGGAAACCAAAAATTTGAGGAGGCAAGAAGACATTTTTCATTAATTAGAAGAAAAATGCCATTACATTTGATAAGGACTGGGAGCCTATACTACAGGTAGAACTTATTCAGATTTGCCACATTGTAGGGTTGAGGTATGACCTTGTCTTTGAGGTCTTCTAAATATTATGCTCTATTCCTAGCCATAACTACAACCTTGTAGGCCCCTTCCTAGTTGGGACCCAACTTTCCTTTACCAGGTACACTTTTGTGGTCCATGACATTCCTCAGAACTAATTCACGAGGTGTTAACTGCCTTGAAAGGAACTTCTTGTTGACGCTCTTGATGAGTTACTGTTGATATGCTGCAAGTCTGATCAGTGCTGCCTCTCTTGGACCCTTAGCCATGTCGAGGGCCTAAGCTATGGCTTTTTCATTACTTGCATCTTCAAATAATTCTGATCGGATGGTTGGGAGACTGACTTCCAGTAGGATAACAGCCTCCATCTCATAGATGAGGGAATATAGAGTCTCTCCGGTTGAGTGCCGAGCCATAGTCCAGTAAGCCCATAACACATGGGGTAACTATTTAACCCATTTCTCTTTAGCACTTTCAAGTCGTTTCTTCACCTCATTGATGATTGTTTTTTTTGATGACTCTGCTTGCCCATTGCTCTGTAGATAACTTGGAGTGGAGTTCCGATATTTGATCCTGAGATCGGCACAAAATTTCCTGAATTTTTTTTCGTAAAACTGCATTCCATTGTCTGCAGTCAATACCCTTAGGATGCCAAAACGGACCACAACATTTCTAATGACAAACTGCTTCGTATTTGCATCCTTGATACCTGCCAGTGCTTCCACTTCCACCAATTTGGTGAAATAATCAATCACAATAACAAAGAATCTTTTGTTCCTAGTCCCCTGTGCCAGAGGTTCGATAATGTCTAAGCCCCACTAAGAAAAAGACCAAGGATTGGTCAACTGAGTGAGAGCTTTGGTGGGCTTGTGAATTGGAGGGGTGAACCTCTAGCATTTATCACATTTCTGAACATATTGTTACACATCCCGTTGCATCTGTGACCACCAATACCCATTAGTTAAGGCACAGTGCGCCAACGATCTTTCACCAATGTGGCTTCCACAAATTCCGTTGTGAATTTCATAAAGAACCGTCGTGACTAGTTTTGGATACACACATAGTAGATAGGGGCAAGGTAGCGTCAGTACGGTTTCCTTAGATCCAGAACCGAGCTTATTGGTGTCAAACTTTGCTTGCCTCCTTGTTCGGGGAGAGTGCCAGATCTAAAAAAAGTAAGTATTGGGTCCATCCAGCTCAATCTTAAGTTTGCACCAAATCTAGAGACACAATGCTTGGTTCTGGCACGAACTCAACCTAAATCTTTCTAGCATCTTTTGTATTAGCTGATGACCCAAGGCAAGCTAGAGCATCAACATGATTGTTTCTGTCTCAATTGATTCCTTCCATCCTTATGGACTAAAATTTATTGATCAGGTCTCTAGCCTTTTCTACATATATGGCCATCTTTTCAACCCTTGCTTCATATATTCCAGTAAGTTGGTTGACAACTAGCTGAGAAATCGCTGAAAACCAAGAACTCCTCTGCATTGAAATGTTCGGTACTCCACAATCCCGCTAGTAATGCTTCGTATTTGGCCTCATTGTTAGAGGCTTTCCATCTAAGTTTCAGAGCTTATTCCCAGATGAATCCCTCTAGAGAGATTAGTACCACCCATGCCCCCAAACCACAGTTATTGGATGATCCGTCAACGTAGAGTTGTTAGATGTCTCTAATGAATAGTTTCCATGCTTCTGAAGCACTTTGCCCTTCTAACTCGGTGGTGTATAAAACCAATGCCGAGCTGGTAAATACACGGTGCTCAAGGCGATGGTGAATTCTGCGAGAAAATCTGTCAAGACTTGGGCCTTGATTGCTATTCTAAGATGATTTTTAATGTCAAACTCACCAAGCTCAACTGCCTATTTAGCCATTCAGCTTGATAAATTAGCTAGGTTGAAGACAGACCTGAGGGGGAACTCAGTAAGGACATTGATGGTATAGCCCTGAAAGTAGTGTTGGAGTTTTCTTGATACGATGTGCAAAGCATAAACTAACTTTTCCAGTGGTAGATACCGAGTCTCGATATCTAAGAGAGTTTTGCTCACATAGTAAACAATCTTCTATTCCTTTTCTACTTCGTGAACCAGTACTACACTCACTGCGTGATTTGATATTGCCAGATACAAGTAGAGTTCTTTCCCTGGCTCTAGTGTGGACAAAAGTAATGGTGAATTGAGGTACTTCTTTAGGTCCCGTAACACCTTGGTGCATTCGGGTCCCTATTTGAATGTAGCCTTTTGCTTGAGGAGCTGGAAGAAGGGCTTCATTTAGTCTGAGGACCTGCTAATGAACCGATTCAGCATCGCTGCCATTTTTGCCAATTTTTGAAGTTCCTTAGCCTCTTCAATATTTCGATCTCTTGTATTGTTTTAATATGATCTAGCGTGGCTTCAATTCCTCTTTGAGTAACCATGTAACCCAAGAACTTCCCTAAACCTATTCCGAAAGTGCATTTCGAGGCATTAAGGCAAAGTTGACGAGTCTTAAGGATGCTGAAAACTTCTTTAAGATTGGCAAGGTGGTCTATTACAAATTGACTCTCAACCACCATATCATCTATATATCCTTCCATAGTTCAGCCAAGTAGGTCCTTGAACATCTGAGTCACCATCAGCTGGTAAGTTGCTCTGGCATTCTTAAGGCCAAACAGCATTGCCTTATAACAATAGGTATCTCTGGAAGTAATAAATGTTGTTTTCTTTTAGTCGGGGCTGAACAAAGGTATCTGGTGGTAGTTGTTATAGAGGTCTAAGAAACTCGTTTGCTTATGTTTGACCATTAAATTGACAAGCTGATCAATACGTGGTAGAGAAAAACTGTTCTTTGAACATACTTTGTTGAGATTGGTAAAATCGACACAAATCCTCCACTTGCCGTTCTTCTTCTTTACAACAATGGTGTTTGATAACCATTGTGGGTGTTGGACCTCCTAAATTGCCTCTACTGCTAGGAGCTTGTCTACCTTTGCAATTACTACTTCAGTAAGCTCGATTGAGGACCTTTTGTTCTTTTTGTACCATAGACCGAGCTGAAGAAATGACATTAAGCTTGTGGTAGGCAAATTCAGGATCTAGACCAGGAATGTTGTGGCCAACCATGCAAATACCTCTATATTTTCCCTTAGGAAGTTTAGCAACTGAAGTATCTCATCAGCGTTGAGCAAGGTATCGATAAGAAAGTATTTCTCAAGGTTGCCTTCCTCCACTAGAACCTTTTCTAGACCTTTCACCATTTTTTTTTTCCAGTGGAACTCTTCCTACATCTTCCAGTGCGGGTTAATTTGCCACCTCCACCATCTAGACCTAATTATAGAGCTGTTTGGTTTTCATGGCAGCCATAAAATAGTGCTTTGCAGTAACTTGGTCCCCCTTGATCTGCTCTAATCTGTGCTTAGTTGGGAAGCGGATGAGCTGATGATAGGATGAAGGGACTGCCTCTATTTGATAGTCGGCCAAGGATAGTTTTGTAAGGAGATAGAGTCTTCACAACCAAGAATTTAATTTGAAAAGTTCTTATCCCAACCACAACAGGTAAGGTTACCTTGCCGAGTGGCCATTCTGGCTGGGAGTTAAAGCCGACCAGCGGTTCCATTGCTAGGGTGAGATTTTGTTCAATAAGATCAAACTTCCTGAATAGATCATAATACAGAATGTTTGTTGCACTGCCTTATGTAGACACCCCATTTTTGACCGCCCTTAAGACTTGGGCACCTTAGGTTGGTCACTCGATGATGAAAACCTATGCTGTACAAATGTTTTTTTTTCTTCCGTAAGGAGCCTCGGTTTTGAGTTTTAGAGCCTAAAAACCTGGCACCTCCTTTGGACCAAAACCTAATTTTTCCAAACTTGACCACCCAGAGGCCTACTGGCCAAAAGGTGGCTGGTAGGCCAACTTTTGTGGCCTACCGTCCCTTTACCTGGCCGGCTGGCTAGGTTTCCCAATAAAATAGATATTTACAACCAGCTGTCCCCCCCATGTGCATGCCTTGCACCAGTTGTCTCTATACAAATATTTTCAACTGAGGAAGCTATTTTTCTATAAATACAAGCCCACTCGTCTTGATTTTAGGTTAGAAAAATTTGTGAAGAGCCCAAATCTTGCTAAGAACTCTCCCTCTCTATCTTGCAATATATACATACATTATACGTACACTTCCTAAACAAATATTTTGAGTCTCCTTGCTAAGGTTATTGAGCTAAAATATCAGCCATTGAGAGTGAGCATCTTGTGATTTGTGAACAAACGAGTGTCTTCTCTTCAAAGGTATAACTCTTGCCACCTTTTGCCTACTCA